TGTCTCCGTCAGTCCCACCTTTGACCAAGATCGGATGTGGCTCAATGGCGAGGTATACATTTTAGTTCTTTTTCTCTTACAAGTTCCTTTCTTTGTGTTTGGTTCCCGGGAAAATGCCCGGCAAACAAACAGGAGTACTTTCTTTGTTTGGGATCAGAGGCTCAGAGAAGCTCTTAGCTTTGATATAAACAACTTGGTGTGCCTCCATTGGGAGCCATAATTTTGTAAATTTTGTGGGTTTTAAAATTTTGTTGCCAGTAAAAAGTGTAAATTTGGAATTTCAAATGCTGCAAGTGATTGATTGTAAATTTGGAAGAGATTGAGGAACAGTCTGGGGGATTCGAACTCGGTGCCCCGGGTGTCAGGGAGAATGTTCTTGGCCAAATGAAATACAAGTTACTCGCAACTCTGTTTTATCAAATAATTTCGGGTTGGGTGTTGAGTGAAAGTAGGTGATGAAGTGAAGAGATTAAAGTTTGAAACTTTGAATAATGTATATATCTTTAGATCTGTCCTCAGGAAACAAGAGCAAGATTCTTTTTTTTTTTTGGCTTGGTTGAGTTGGCTTTTGTGTTGGAATACAGTGGTAACTAGATTTTACAACCTACTCAGTTATTTGTTTCGCTGATTCAAGGATCTTTTATGTTTTTTCGGGTTAGTGTAGGAGATTTCCATTTCTGGAGGCAGATTCCAAAGCTGTTTAAGAGAAATTCGCAGTCGAGCTACCGATGTTGATGATAAGGAAAAGGGAATCAAGATTACTAAGAAGGATTGGGAAAACTTGCATGTACATATTTCTTCATATAACAATTTTCCTACTGCTGCTGGATTGGCTTCCTCAGCAGCTGGTTTTGCTTGTCTAGGTAATTAATAATTACCCTAATTTTCCCTATATTATTGTGAATTTCTTGTTATATGGTTAATGACTAATCGGAAACTTGACATTACTGCATAGTGACCCACTTAAAATCACATTTGGCTTAACTTAAGAAATTAGTAGGCAACTTGAGAAAGTGGAAGGCTGGTTGTACAAATTGGTATAACTGGATGGAAATTTTTTAGAGTACATAAGTTGCATGTATATACTTGCACATATATGAATGTTACATATTTTCTGCTCTTACTAATATCTTTCGGTATTGAACACTTAAGAATTGGGCATTTCTTTTTATCTTAATATTTTGGAATACTTTTTTTCCTTTAGGGTTGTAGATTACTCATTTTTTTATCAATACATAATAATTAACAATGAGCATATGATAGCTAAATGTCTGTTTATACTTTGCAGTTTTTGCACTCGGAAAGTTAATGAATGTGAAAGAAGATCACAGCCAGCTTTCTGCTATTGCAAGGTAGTTGAGAGTTATTAAATATCTCATTTCCAGGGTGCCTGTATCTTGTTTCAGTTATAATGATTACAATTGGGATCACCATGCACTTCAGTTTCATCTGTCATTGTTGTGGTTGTTAATGAAATTTTGCGTTACATAAATATGCGCCACTATATAGGCCTCACTGAAGATGAATTTTACGTTGTCGCTTTATTTTTAGTTCATCATAGAGGTTGTGTGTTATAAATCTTTGTTCTTCTTTATTCACATGATAGAGATTCTAGTATGCTGGTTGTAGTTCGTGGGAATAATTCCTTGAATTGATTTGCTAATACAGGCAAGGGTCTGGTAGTGCTTGCCGCAGCTTATATGGGGGATTTGTCAAGTGGATTATGGGAAAAGTAAGCTTAATATATATTTTATATTTTATTTTATTGTTATCATTATTCCCTCTGTTGAAAAGCAAGTTTTCCTGTGGAGCTTTTAAACCTGATTCTTGGTATCATGGTCTATTAAGGATGAGAAGGGAACCGACAGTCTTGCAGTCCAAGTTGCAGATGAGAAGCACTGGGATGAGCTTGTTATTGTTATCGCTGTGGTATGTATTGTCTTTTCTTTTCTCATTCTAGTAAATGATTCTATTGGTAAATTCTGGCCTGCGGACATTACTTTTTATCTTGTCATTTTCTGCTTGGTTCTTCAAAGGTTTTCTCTGGGGTCTTTTGAATTTTCTTCTTTCCATCTCTGCCATACATTTGTATATTGATGCTTATACAGTACTTTATATCTGTTCATGTCTGCATGTTTTCCTGGTTTGGTAGTATAAGTTCTATGGTCTTAAATGTGCATCCTTGGGCGGTAATATTTTTGGCAATGATACCTTTTAGTTTTGCAAATACTGCCTATGAACTTATTCTAGTTTGCTTAGTCATATTTTCCATTGCAAGCTTGTTAATGCCACCATTCTCTTCACCTGTAGTATTTGCATGAATATTTGAGGAAAGTGGGAACTACATTTTTGAAATCAAATATATGATATATGTGAAGATACCCTTTCACACAAAGAGTTGGGAAGCTATTAAGTCAAAGTCAAGCATAAATTAAATAGAAAAAAATTGAAAATTTCCATCTAATAGAGTTAATAATTTGACAGACTGATAAGTTGTCACCATTATAAAACAATACGTTTTTATAAGTGGAGTTAAGCCAGATAACTTATATTACGGATGCTTATAATGGCTGCACATACTTCTTTTGGAATGTTGAGATGCTACAACTGCAAAGATCCTGTTATTTATCTTCTTGATTTTGTTTATACCAGGTAAGTTCACGGCAGAAGGAAACAAGCAGCACTACAGGAATGCGTGATACTGTTGAAACAAGTTTGCTCTTACAACATAGAGCAAAAGTACGTTCTCCACTTTCCCTTTCACTGTTCAGTTTAAATAGTAGGGTTTGTCTTCAGTAGTAGATCGTCAAGTGACTGAGCTCCATGCTTTTACATTTGATGCATTTTAAAAAGAAACCACAAATTTAGTACTATAGATTATGGATTAATTTCTGTCATTTTAAAATCCTTGGAACCTTAAAACTGCCTCATCCAAGAAAAAAGTCGCTGCTTATTTTTTTGTCATTTGTTATTTTTTCAGGGTCATTTAAACTCTGATCTAATTTGTTTTTCCTATCTCTCTTTTGACACTGTTACAGGAAATAGTACCAAAACGCATATTAAAAATGGAAGAAGCCATAAAAAATCGTGATTTTGCTTCTTTTGCACAATTGACCTGTACTGACAGTAACCAGTTTCATGCTGTCTGCCTGGACACATGTCCACCCATTTTCTACATGAATGATACATCCCACAGGCAAGCCCCTTTGCATTTATATCACTTGACAAGCTTAGCAAGTATAGTAGTTCTTTTTTTTTTTTGGTCAGTGAGGTGACGCTATACACTTAAAAATTAATATTGACGAAGGACCTATGTTTCAGGATAATAAGCCTTGTTGAAAAGTGGAACAAAGCAGAAGGAACACCTCAGGTTTGAATTTTCAGGAGGAAACTAAATGATGTTGAATGAGTATAAAATGCACTCATTATTTGTCTTTCTAGCATGATAATGATCCTAAAATTACCAGTGCTCCGACTATCTTGAATTTTTCAGTATTAGACCAAAAGTGATTATACTTTCAGTCAGTAGAAGTCATTATGGCTTTATCATAAATCATAAAGAGATTCACCTAGATGGAGCTGCACTGCACGTTTTCTTAATATAATGCCTCAACTGACACAAATTGCACAGTTACATACATGAACAATACAAGCTGTGATGACGTCAATTTTTGGTGTGGAAAGGAAACACTTTTGACTTCCGCTTTACAATTAATTTTGATCAGACTTCGTTCTTGTGATAAACCCTAGCTCAAAGCATGCTTGTAAGTCTCCGTGAGATATACATTTCCTGAATGACAAGACTGAACAATGTTAAAAGTACTAAATTTTGGTTGTGACTCCTAAGTGCTTCAGAGATCCTAATCTGGACCTGCTGCTTCCCTTCTGGCACTGATCTTACTTTTTATAAGTTTATGGCATATTAGTATATGATTAGTCAGAAAATGATTTTAGGCTTCATCTCTATTAAGCTTATTTCTTTGTGTTGCATGCTGTTTATATTATTCTTCGAGTATTTGATAATATTGTTAATCGGCAGGTGGCTTATACATTTGATGCGGGGCCAAATGCGGTTCTCATTGCACGTAACAGAAAAACAGCTGCCCTTTTGGTTCAGAAGTTGCTATTCTGCTTTCCTCCAAATTCTGATGCAGATTTGAACAGGTAATTTGAGTTTAGATGCTATCATGCTTTCATATGATCCTCAAGTTTATGAGATTCTTGTTTCTGCGAGTTTCTGCATCAAGGATTTTTCTTACGGTGCGAACCCTGTTTTTTCTTCTTTTAATAATTATTTCCTTATTTCATTTCCCAGTTTCGTTCTTGGTGATAAGTCAATTCTAAAAGATGCCGGTGTTGAGAGCCCCGAGGATATTGAAACTTTACCCCCACCTCCAGAAATCAAGGATCCGTCCCAGAAATTTCGAGGAGATGTCAGTTACTTTATTTGCACAAGACCTGGGAGAGGTCCAGTTGTGCTGTCAGATGAAAGTCATCTTCTCAACCCTGAAACTGGATTGCCGAAGTAAGCTCGAAAGGTTTCTCTCTTGTTTCACAACGCTCTATTCCTTCTCAGGCCTACTCAAATGGCTGTATGGATAATGCTTTTAGGCTGAACCGAAGAATTGGCTTGAAATGATTATCCGAGTAGCTCGCAGTTTGACAGTTTCTGTTGCTTGTTTCGTGCATCTGTAACTTACTTTTTGCTCTTTAATCTGATTATGGTCTTTGTACTCATTGTCGTTGATACAATCATGAATAAATTGTCTATTGTTCGTCCAAAACTGCGGCACTGCATTTCCACTAAATCATGGTGTTGGTGAGTTGAGTTCTTCAAATGTTTCAGACAAGAAAGGTTATAGGCCTTGGGGTCCCGTGAAAAGAAAATTTCAGCGAGGTTCGCATGAATCAATGGCGTGCTTGATTTGATGTTTGAGGGGCCTCAGTTCACCTGGAGAAACATCATTCAAAATATGGTAGAATCATCATGCTAAGCCAGAAACGATGATGAATTAATTAGGGGTTTCCCGTTGCGTTTGCGACCGAGAATGCGGTTTGAACAAGGCACAATTTCGAACATATAGAGTCGTTTGAACCTTGAAGTAATCACTCTTACCAACTTACATTTGAAAATACAAGATCTAACAGCTAATCTGTCTCTCTGTGCCTGTACAAATACAAGGAATATCAAACCAGACACTTTCGAAGCAATGAGCTGATGATCTGCTTGTAAACATAACATAGAGAAAGCACACTAAGCAGTGCAAATATCTCCCCTCGCAATCCAAGACTCAAGGCTTCATTGCACTGTTGGTTGAGGCGTCCTTCTGAATCCAGAAGTTTACAAGAAACGAGTCAAAAATAACCTGCATCGATAAAATTATCAGTTGAAAGAAAGAAAAAAAATACGAACAAGATACATAAAAACGGAATAGATGTAATACGAACCTGATTAAAGTGTGCTGCAATACAAGGAAGAACAAGCAAACCGGATTCACCCAGTGCACCACCAAGTTGCTCAACTACAGCCACCATTACAGGCAGAGTTTTCTGCCAGAAGCATGCCAATTCACCAACCCTCGTCAATAGCATTAAAGAAAAACCGTACAATATTTCTTCCTAATCAATTGCTTCTCACAGAGACAAAAATCGACATCTACCCTAAATAATAAAGTCACTTCGTCCTACAAAATATCTCAGATCACGTCTCATTTTCACCAAGGATGGGGCGTTCAAGAGTTGGAGGGCAAAGACATTTCGATAGTGGTCAAAGAAAGTAAAAGTTTGGAAAGAAAAAGGTAAGTCTCTCACCTGGCTCGCAACAAGGAGAACAGCATTGGCATTTTCTTTCTTGGAAAACACTGACCGACTGCCACCAGAGAGAGCTGAAATGCCCCTTATCGCAATAGCGTTAAAGACTAAAAAGCTGATGTGCAGAAGTCTGCAAGTAGAGACATTTTTTCAGTAGACACTAATGCATTTTTTCAGCAGATGCCAATGCATTTCGCCCCGTAAAGTTATTAAGACACCTATCTAGAGACTGCAAAATCCAAATTCATCACATATATTTTGCTTCTCTCACCCATAACAGAATTCTGGCTCTTCAGAATATCTTCAGACGAAGAATGTCCAAAGAAATCTACTCAGTTCAAACACACCGTGGGATTTAAAAGATAATGAAAAAGGTTAATCAGAAGACCACAGAGTAATATGTTGGATTCATTATTTTTGAGAAGACACAAGCCTTTCATTTATGCTAACACAAATTACACATCACTCGGTAAGGAGTACGCTCTAAGAACAGATGGAAAGAAAACAAAAAGGAAGAACACGAGAACAGACATATAACTATCATACCAAGAAGCCCCCAAACACTTACTAATGGCTTTGATATCTGTTTTACAATCTGCCTTTGATATCAATTCAATTCCACAATTTGGAATTTATATCAATCTTAAACCCCACATGCTAGTTTGTGTTTGAGAAAGCATCAGAATGCCCGTAAAAATTCATTACCAAGCTTAGATACTTTCAAGAGTACGTGAAGTGGGGTCACTTAGTAGACATAAACTAAAGGAGCACTGATAGGATTTTTACTGCTTATGTGAATGCGATAAAAACCTCCTATTTTACTTGCAAGAATCACAAGGTTATTGTAGTATAAACGGATCTCGCAAGGTCATTCTCCACAGGGATTATTAAATAATTCGAAACAAATCAGATTCCAATTAATGATTGTAAAGTAGAAATTGAAGTGATTGATTTTAAAAGCTAATTAAAATAAAAACGAATTTAATGAATTAAAATAAACAATCTGCAATATTAGGATTAGAGAAGAAAACAGTTTTGAGAAAATCAAATTAAGAAAGCACTAGGGTTCCACCATCACCTAGCAATCCTATGAATTTTACCAATTACTTATGATCTACACATGCCACTTTGAAGGTTAGATTTTCCTAATTCATACTCTACTTGGAACCTCCAACGTAGAACGTATATCTAACATGCAACCCGTCCGGACGTTCGGATCAAATATGAACATGAAAGACTCATTATGCTTTATGAAAATCCTTTGAAAAACCATGCAATCCTTAAGACGTGATATTCATCCTAAGAGAAATTACAATTATTAATCACAAGAAGCCAGCGTCAATTTCAGGGAACCTTCCGACCAAAATTGCATCAAATTACTTTTCTAAAGATCCTAATGGTGATCAGGCATTAAGACAATTAGATAGTTTTTATCCCGGTGATTAACAATTCAAAGTACGCATGCAATCAATCATAAGAAATTTAATAAAAATCACATATTCATGCTAAGGCTCAAGGCTTCACCCTAGCAAAAGAAATTAGTTCCGCATATTCATAATTGAAATCATAGAAATATCTATTAAGAAAAGGATTGAAAACACCTTCAAGTAGAAAATCTTCAAAACCCCAGCACTTTTCTCTGTCTCCAATATTGCATAAAATAAAGCGTACCCTAAAACTGTAGACGGCTAAGCAATATATTTGCTAAGCCACCACCAAAAAACCCTAGCCAACTAAAATTAATAAAAACCCTAAATAAAAATAGTAAAATTCGTCTAAAATCTGAACAACCACGTTTTGGCCCAAAAGCTGCTCCAAAACTGGCCCAATATAGCTGGATTTGATGTTTGGAATATTCTGAACACTTTTCCAGAAGGCCACGAACCCATCCGAGGTCATCTTGGGCTCCAAAAACGTCATTTAAGCCCAAAAACGTCACTTTCCAGCACTGCGCACTGCTTCTTTATTTCATCGCCAGAAAATAACTGCTTGGTGGAAAAATCCCAAATTTTGATACGATCAAGCTAATTGACTCACGAACGTCCTCCAATTGGAATTACTCCAAAATTCGTCCATTTGGTCCTGTTTTGCTCCAGAGGAAGTCGAAAGTCCTATATTGAAAATACAATTCAAAGTATCAAAATTCTTCCAATATATTAACCAAAATATACTAAGATTAGGGTAAAATATATAATATAAAATCTACTCATCAAATACCCCCAAACTTAGCTTTTGCTTGTCCTCAAGCAAAACAAGACTCAAACAAAAATAAAAACTTAACAAACTAACTAGCTAAAATTAACTGACAAAAATTTTCACCTTCAAAGTTGCAATCCATAGCAAATTTTAAAAACTAGAACATCTTTTCAAAAGTTCAAACCAATCCCACCACAGAGTCTAAGCCATTTAGAATCAATTAGAAAAGAATTCACAAACTTCCTTTGGTGTAAAGTGAACCAACATAATTAAGGAGACTCGACTAAAACCCTTACCTCTCGTCCTTATTTATTTCACACATAGTAACTTTAAATATAACTCTCTTTCTTTTTCTTTTTTTTTTTTCTTTTTCACTTTTTTTTTTTTTTCATATATAACATTTTTTTTCTCCAGTAACAGTAGTGGTCGTGCAATGTCGGTTTACTTAAGCTTTCGATCCAACCCATGTAGCGAGCTTTAGGTCAATGACTCCCAAACCACTAGGGCTTTAGGACACTAGGTGTAGAACACCCCTAAGGACTTATTAACCCGAGCTGAAAAGGCTACGAAACCAACTAACCACCCTGCCTCATGCCAAAACTCTACCGTTTGACGCGAGAATCACTGCTGATTAGGCAGGACTGGCCCGGTTACTAGGCAGAACCTCGGGTGAGACAATTATTACTTTATTTTTTTTTTTTTTCACACTAATAACTGACTTTACTTAAAATAAAAAAATAAAAATAAAAAATAAACTTAGACTAAAAGCAAGTATTTCAATCTCACTCCCCACAAACCATGTTGGTGTGATGTGCAAAGTTCAAAGTATAATTCATGAATTAGTGTCTAAGCAACGATAAATAGAAAAGACTCTAATGTGGGATTAACTTTCACCATGTCCAGTTGTTCTAACGCTTAAAATACTCTATGGATATTAACTTAGGAATAATGAAAATTTTTAAACGGACACAACAATAAAAAAAAACTAAAATTTACTTTCCCACCCCCAAACTTATGTCACACTTTGTCCTCAAGGTGTGGAAAATAAAAGAAAAATGACAAAAAGGAAATAAACTTAAACTAACATATAAGAATTATAAAAGGGAAAATGAGGAACAAAACCAAAGAAAATTTTATATTACAACGGAAACGAACTAAATCTATGACTAATTAACAAAATAGGACAAAGACGTCAGGACAAAGAACATAATAAAGAACATGATATATAAAAATAAAAAATAAATAAATAATGAGACAAGAAAGCACCTGGGAATATGGACTCCATTGTGGCATGCAATTTGAAAAGTGGCGTGCTTTGAACATTGGATCCCCTGCGAAATGAATGGGACGCAGCTGGCATGCAAGGGGAAAGTGGCGTGCAGAGTTGTTGTCTGGCGCTGTCAATCAGCAATCACAGAGCCCAAACGGCTCTCTCCAAACCGTGCCCTAGGGAAACATAAAAAACAGATGAGGCGCACACGTGTCAGGCATCAAGAAGGGTAGCTCCATAGGATTCGAAATTAAGAGTGAAGATCAATCCATTTGCCCATATCTCTTTCTTTCTCGCAGACCCCATTTTGCTAAAATGAAAGGACCTCTCTGTCTCTCACATTTTTCTCTCCTTTCCTCAATTTAGCTCTGCTCTCTCTAGAAAGTCTGAAAATGCTTTTACTCTCTCCATGTCAAAGCAAGTCCTTCTTCCTCCCTTTGCAGGTAAAAACTAAGCCATGCCATTTCTCCTTTTGTTCGTTCAAATGTAAAGATGTAGCTCCATTTCTGCTAACTTCATCACCAAGAGTAACATGAAAATGTTTGTGACTGATGCATTTGATTGTTCTGTGTATGTCTCAGTTTCCTCGCAGATTGATGCATCCGTAGCCTTCCATAACCCAACAACAACGCACCTCCGTGAGTACCCCGCCGTGATGGAAAATCGGAAAAAACGGAAACCCAAAGGTAAAATCATCCTCCAATCTTGTGGTTGCAGTGTCCAATTTATTTGTTGGAGAGATCTGGAACAAACACTAACACCTGCATGTGGTTTTATCAGTGTGGAGAGCCCTAATGGTTTCAAATCCGAGACACAACAACACAAGAACACCCCCGGAGTCAGCAGCTCAGCTCAACCAAGGATCTGCAAATGTTGAGGTAAAACCCGTAACCCTTTTTATTGATGGACTATGATCTGATACTTGAAAAATAACCCCTACTGTGACTGAAAAAATAACACTCAAATCCAGCATACACCCGTGAGAAAACAAGCTTAAGCTGCCGGTCTAATAGTCCCAGAAAGCAAAATCAACAGCAACTGTCGCGGCCTCTGTATGTCATATAGGTACAGAACTCGTTCGTCTGCTTTTGCTAAGCTCAACATTTACAAGTTCAACAACAGTTCATTTGAATGCCATATGTAACCTGTATGTACTCATATTGTTGGTCTTTATGTAGGGGTATACGGATCCATGATAGAGCCAAGGACACAGAAGTAAACACACAAGAGCAACGGAGGAAAATAGCACAGGCCGCATGACCCAGATCGATGCATCTGGGAGGTAAAATTCGAATCCCTGCAAGTGTAATTGTTGTAGATCTGGTAATAATATCTGTACTCAGTTCTGTGGTGTATGGATCGGTGATTTAATTGTGCTTCCTCCATGCATCGCAAAACTGAGCTGCAGAAATTAACTGCTCTAAATTCTGTTTATGTGCTGGATCTGCAACAATCACCCCCAAACTTGCATATGTGAATGGCTTTTTATGTGGACTGCTTTAAATTTCCAACATAGTGTAGATGTGGTTGATGTGAACGATAGACTTGCTGCTGGGTGCAGGATTCCAGCATAGGACGCGCTTTATTTTCCACGTTCGCAACCTGCAATTAACCAATATGCGTCAAAAAATTAAAATAAAATCAAATAAACTAGGTAAATAAAATCAATATGCAATCTTCCATTTTTTTCAAATTTTGTTTTTTTTTTTATTTTTTTTATTTTTTTTTATGTATGTTTTATTTTTTATTTTTTTATATTAAAGAGAAAATCAAACAAAAATTAAAACTAAGAAAGAGTTTAGAAAAATTGGGTTGCCTCCCAATAAGCGCTTTATTTTAAGTCTGTAGCTAGACGTTGCGGAAGTCCGGTGGCTAGATCATTGGTGCCTTTAGAGTCAAAGACTCGCCTACACCAAATTTCTCTATGCATGGTTTTAGTTGATGTTTGGTCACCTTCAATGAGAAATCTGTGCCCTTAGCCTTAATGTCCACATTACCATTCTGAAAAACTTTAGTAACCAGAAAAGGGCCTTTCCATCTAGACTCTTGTTTCCCTGGAAATGACTTGAAATCTGAACTTAATAACCACACTTCTTTACCAGGCTGTATTTTCTTAAAATTTGGGCTGCTTGGCAAATTTTCATGTTTTTTCAATGTGTTCATTGGCTGGTCTTCATGTAGCACCCTTTGCTGCTGTGGTTTAGGACTTGTAAAATCAGGAGTTAAATTCGGGGGCTTTATGGACAGATGGTCAGTTGATGATCTGTTCATAAACTTGGCACTTGGTAAACCATCCAATGCATCAACACGCATGCATTCTTGCTTGTCACCTGAATGTATGCTTGCTTCAAATAACTTGAAAACAACAGTTTGATTTTCAACTCGGAATGTTAATGTTCCGGCTTCAACGTCAATAAGAGTTCGGGCTGTTGCCAGAAATGGGCGGCCCAAAATAATGGGCGCTTGCAAATCCTCATCCATGTCTAACACCATAAAATCAGCTGGTAAATATAAATTGTCAACCTTCACAATAACATCTTCAATGACCCCTCTAGGGTAGGTAATTGAACGGTCAGCCAATTGAATAATACTGGAGGTTGGCTTCAGCTCCCCTTCACCTAAACGTTTGAAAACAGAATATGGCATTAAGTTTACACTAGCACCTAAATCAATTAAAGCACTACTAAAATCACAATTTCCAATGGTGCAAGAGATAGTAAAACTCCCTGGATCTTTTTTCTTTGGAGGCAATTTATGTAATAAGACCGCACTGCATTGTTCTGTAAGAATCACTTTCTCAAAATCAACAAGCTTCTTTTTCTTTGTGCAAACATCCTTCAAAAACTTGGCATAAGACGGAATGTTCTTGATGGCATCAATTAACGGCAGATTAATTTGAACTTTAGCCAAAGTTTTCATAAAATCTGTTAACTGTTGATCTTTAGCTTTAGGTCTCAACCTTTCTGGATACGGCATAGGGGGTTCGTAAACACGTTCTGCAGTTTTTGTGGAAGCTTCTGCAGTATTTTCGGATCTGTCTTGGGACTGCCCAGAATCTGCAGAAATTTCAGAATCTGCAATAATTGCAGGTTTAGTTTGGGGTAGTTCTGCTGCCTGTGAATTCCCAACAGAATTTTCATGTTTGTTGTTGTAACTTTTGCCAGACCGTAGAGTCCGTATAGCATTGCATTCTTCTCGTCCTCTTGGATTAGGTACTGTTTGACTAGGAAATGTACCCGGAGCTCTTTCTGAAACCTGTAAAGCAATCTGCCCCATCTGTTTTTCGATGTTTTTCACTGCTGCATGTAGATTTTGAATTTCTTGAGTGGTAGTATTTGCCAATTTTTCAATTGCAACTTCCCAAGCAGCCTTAGGTGCAGCAGGTTGTTGTAATAATAACAGAAAGACGCTAAGAAATAAACTAAAGGAGTACGTGAAGTGGGGTCACTTAGTAGACATAAACTAAAGGAGCACACACTGGCATTTCTGCTATCATATTAATAATAACAGAAAGACGCTAAGAAATAGGGTGAATTTCATACATTCCCATTCCCATAGCCACAAGAAAAACTGAGGGCTTAACCATCAACAGCAGTGACCTGGACCTGCTAACTTGTATCCATGGCACCTGAGTAACAAACAAACTGTTACACGATGAAAACAATTGTACTTAAAAATTAAAGGAGACTAAGATGTCCTACAGGAACCATTGAAGACCACTTAGAGTCTTAGACCAGACGGATTTCAAAACAAAAACAAAAAACACTTTAACAGCAGAATCAACACTTTTTTTTTTTGTCAACTTGAATTCTGATGATTGTATCATCAGAACGTTATACAATTTTTTTAATTAAACATGACAAGGAACTATGTCACATCCGCAATGCTTAAACAGATTGGAGTATGATACTTTGAAGTATAAATATATTTCATTCCGAGAAACCAAGAATAATGAAACCAGAATACAAAGGAGACCAGAACTGCAACTTAACATATAAAAATACACTCCAAGGTTGTTCCGAAAGGTCCTAAACTCAATAAAAGTGCGAAGTAAGATTCTCTGTTGAACAAAAGGACAGAATGCACAACATAGATTGGGGACCCCAATCGAGGACTTTGTATCCTTTAAAGATCTAGTGTTTCCTTCCTTCCATATGCATTCCCAAATAGACAAGGCAACAACCAGCCAACAGTGATGAAAATTCCCCAAGACTTCGAGGACTGCCGAAGGGTAAGACCAAATACAAATCTGGGAGATTGATGGACCGGAAACAAGTCAAAATTGATATAACAATCAACACATAATGGGAGACAAATGATACTTGCTTATTTCAACTATGTGGAAGAAAGTTGTAGACTTTTGGAAGTCTCTTCAAATGATCTACCCCTTCAACTTGCATTTTCCCTTTTTCTCCCCTCTATCTAAAGCTAGTTTCATAATTCATACATTTCGATTATGTTCCATCAACTACCCAATACTAGAAAGTTTGCACATGGTGCAGCCACTCCCTGACCAAATAGAAAACAAGTGGGAAAGGACGAAGCTCTCAGTTGCCTCAAACTGGACTTAATACTCAATTACACAGAAGACCCAGGAGGGAGGAAGTTTAACTGTAAGTACCATAATCATATGAAGCACAGATTTCAATGAAACCACAATAATAATGCCCTAGAATATGAGGAACAGATAAACCAAGGAATTCCACTAAGGATTACATATCCAAACAACCTACACATCATATGATGCCTTTTACATAAACAAACGTATGGAAAGGGAAATGAAGAGAGTATGGAAGTGTAACCAAATTAATACAACAACAACAACAACAACAAAGCCTTTTCCCACTAAGTGGGGTCGGCTATATGAATCCTAGAACGCCATTGCGCTCGGTTTTGTGTCATGTCCTCCGTTAGATCCAAGTACTCTAAGTCTTTTCTTAGAGTCTCTTCCAAAGTTGTCCTAGGTCTTCCTCTACCCCTTCGGCCCTGAACCTCTGTCCCGTAGTCACATCTTCGAACCGGAGCGTCAGTCGGCCTTCTTTGCACATGTTCAAAATCACCGGAGCCGATTTTCTCTCATATTTCCTACAATTTCGGCTACTCCTACTTTACCTCGGATATCCTCATTCCCAATCTTATCCTTTCTCGTGTGCCCACACATCCCCCACGAAGCATCCTCATCTCCGCTACACCCATTTTGTGTACGTGTTGATGCTTCACCACCCAACATTCTGTGCCATACAACATCGCTAGCCTTATTGCCGTCCTATAAAATTTTCCCTTGAGCTTCAGTGGCCTACGACGGTCACACAACACGCCGGATGCACTCTTTCCATCCAGCTCGTATTCTATGGTTGAGATCTCCATCTAATTCTCCGTTCTCTTGCAAGATAGATCCTAGGTAGCGAAAACGATCGCTTTTTTGTGATCTTCGCTAGATTGCTCCGGTCATTAGTGTGGATAAGTATATAAATGGATAGAGATAGGAAAGCAAACACAAGATGTACGTGGTTCACCCAGATTGGCTACGTCCACGGAATAGAAGAGTTCTCATTAATTGTGAAGGGTTTACACAAGTACATAGGTTCAAGCTCTCATTTAGTGAGTACAAGTGAATGATTTAGTACAAATGACATTAGGAAATATTGTGGGAGAATGATCTCGTAATCACGAAACTTCTAAGTATCGGAGTGTGGTGTCGTCTTGACTTGCCTTATCTGTCTCATAGGTAGATGTGGCATCTTCTCTGGAAGTACTCTTCCTCCATCCAGGGGTGGTATCTTTAACTGGTGGAGATGCACAAGGTAATGTATCAATTTCACTTGAAGCTTACTTGTAGTTTCAGGCTTGGTCAAGCGCGATACAAACCATGTAGTAGGAGTCCCCCAAGTCGCCGAGCTAGGGGGTCTGCTGAAAGAGGTGACAGACAAGGTAAGCAATCAGAGCTCCGACTGATTGTTCACCTTCTCCCCATCTTGCAGCAGCATGTAGGATAAAGAGAAGAAAAATGAGAAGAGATAATATGAGATACTTTTGCTTTTGAAGAAGTAACTTTCCACAGGCTTATTCTTGAACTGAGCTGGAGGGTTTTCTGGTTTCCTCCAGAGTATAAGGCCGACTGAAGAATTTGAGGGTCAAAACAAGTCCATCAAATCTAGAGTACGTTCCACCCTGCTGATATGGGATACTTTTGCTTTTGACAGAGTAATGAATGTATCGGCACGTGTGCTGTTACGCTTGTCTCCACATGCTTCCTTGTATCCTTCGCACTTGCCCTATCTGTTCCTCAAGCAGATGCGGAATCTTCCCTGGAAACATAAGATGTTGAAGATGAGTACTCGAGAGCAATGCCAGGTAAGTAATCAGGTAAGGGGTTCCAGGCAGTCAGTTCCTGGCTGGAAGCTTGATTCCAAGTGCTGACTGATTGCTCTCTTTCTCCTTGTCTTGCAGGTAAAAACAAGGCCAAAAGAAAAGACAGGGAAAAAGCATGATATGGGATACTCTTGCTTTTTAACCCTGATGATATGAGATATTCTTGCTCTAGTATAGCTTGTTTGCAGAGGTATTATCGGGGGGGAAAGAAAGCTGAATATTTCGAAAGGCTTCGTTGGGAGTGCCCTCTCAGATATGATGAAGGGTTGAGCATTGTTGCAGGTCTGCCTGTCCGTTGGGGATGGAGGTCGACATATATAGGAGTCTCCCTAACAACAAGTAGTAATGCTATTCCTTTACCCTGCTTGGTCATAGCACGGTAGTGGGAGCTGCCAGTTTCACATGTTTTAACTCTGTCAGAGCACTTTGAAAAAGTGGTCTGTGGTATCTGGCTCTCGAGATTCGGAGAACGATGCCTCTTCGATTTTTGAGAAAGCAATCATGCTGGGGGTATGACTCTCGAGATTCGGAGAGCAGTGTCTCTTCGATTTTTGAGGAAGTAATCATGTTGGGAGTCTGGCTCTCGAGATTCGGAGGGCGGTGCCTCTTCGATTTTGGAGCAAGCAATCTTGTTGGGAGTGTTGTCTCGAATGTGAGTAAAGGTTGGGCATGTTTGCTAGTCTACCTTGCCACGAAGCACAAAGGTTGACACACAGGGACTTTCCAATTATCCAGCAATGGTACTGTTCCTTTACCCTCTCTTCGATTTTGAGAAAGTAATCATGTTGGGAGTCTAGCTCTCGAGATTCGGAGGACGGTGCCTCTTCGATTTTGGAGCAAGCAATCTTATTGGGAGTGTTTTCTCGAATGTGAGTAAAGGTTGGGCATGTTTGCTAGTCTACCTTGCCACGAAGCACAGAGGTTGACACACAGGGACTTTCCAATTATCCAGCAGTGGTACTGTTCCTTTACAGTTGTGGGTAATAATATGGTAGCTAGACCTTCAAAATTTATGTGTCTAAACTTTTGTTAGTGTTGTTTCTTTGCTATTCTTTTACCTTTCTTGGTCAGAGCGATGTAGTGGGAGCTGCAAGCTTCACGTGCTCAACTTTGGCAGAGAACTTTGACAAAGTTATTTGTGGTACCCATGAGCTATTGTTGCGTGTGGGAAGTGGGTGATTGAACAGTAAGATTCATGTGCTTTCTACTTCACCAGAAGTCTTCGACAGAATGCCCATAATTTCTGCAAAGCTGAGTGTGCGTGTGACAGGTGCTGACAAGGCTAGAAAAGTAGGTGCCTCTTCGATTTCTGAGATCGGCCCTCGTGGTCTCTGAGAAGCCCAGCTTTTGAGAAAGTGAGCGCCTCTTCGATTGATTCGGAGAACGATGCCTCATCGATTTTTGAGAAAGCAATCATGCTGGGGGTCTGGCTCTCGAGATTCGGGGAGCAGTGTCTCTTCGATTTTTGAGAAAGTAATCATGTTGGGAGTCTGGCTCTCGAGATTCGGAGGGCGGTGCCTCTTCGATTTTGGAGCAAGCAATCTTGTTGGGAGTGTTTTCTCGAATGTGAGTAAAGGTTGGGCATGTTTGCTAGTCTACCTTGCCACGAAGCACAGAGGTTGACACACAGGGACTTTCCAATTATCCAGCAATGGTACTGTTCCTTTACCCTCTCTTCGATTTTTAAGAAAGTAGTCATGTTGGGAGTCTGGCTCTCGAGATTCGGAGGACGGTGCCTCTTCGATTTTGGAGCAAGCAATCTTATTGGGAGTGTTTTCTCGAATGTGAGTAAAGGTTGGGCATGTTTGCTAGTCTACCTTGCCACGAAGCACAGAGGTTAACACACAGGGACTTTCCAATTATCCAGCAGTGGTACTGTTCCTTTATAGTTGTGGGTAATAATATGGTAGCTAGACCTTCAAAATTTATGGGTCTAAACTTTGTTAGTGTTGTTTCTTTGCTATTCTTTTACCCTTCTTGGTCAGAGCGATGTGTAGTGGGAGCTGCAAGCTTCACGTGCTCAACTTTGGCAGAGAACTTTGGCAAAGTTATCTGTGGTACCCATGAGCTATTGTTGCGTGTGGGAAGTGGGTGATTGAACAGTAAGATTCATGTGTTTTCTACTTCCCCAGAAGTCTTTGACAGAATGCCCATAATTTTCGCAAAACTGAGTGTGCGTGTGACAGGTGCTGACAAGGCTGGAAAAGGCTGGAAAAGTAGGTGCCTCTTCGATTTCTGAGATCGGCCCTCGTGGTCTCTGGGGAGCCCAGCTT